CTAGTACCTAATTTGTTTGAAGAGTTTTCAATAAATTTAATACAAAAACTTCAGTAGGAGACCAACTTTGAAAAGCAGTAGTTTTCCGATCGTAATATATAACCAAAGTTGATCTTAATTTGTATTGTAATCTCTTGGTTTATTAATGAATTATATATTTATTAATTATCTTATTTCTGTGCAATATACAACTAAATTTATTTTGCACCTTTTGCATCCAAGCACACATATTTTGTTGATACAAATTTTAAATAAAATTATAAAACTACTAATTTAGTCAAACTACATAAAAATACGTACATACACCAACTAAAAAAAAAAAAAAAAAAGTGGGTAAGTGGATGTCGCTCTGCTGTACTGTAGGTTACAAGTGGGTCACTGTAATAATATAATGGATGGTATTAAATTTGAATACAATGATATAATATCATTGTATAAGAAAAATGATTCTGAGCGGAGACGGTATGTCAGTCTAGGTATAAGACATATTATATACTTTTCTATGGTATTAAATTATATGGAATTTATGAATAAATTCCTTAAAAATATGCACAGTCTTATCATGATTCATGAGCATAATTCTTATTCCTTATACTATGGTAGATTGTATGGGTAGGCCATAATATTTTGATTTTTCAGTTTCATATATCCCCGAATAATATTTTTAAATTACAACAAAAACAAAGATCGTTAATATTGATTTTAATATGTAATTTCGTCCAAATTTGAATTTAAAATGTCTGTAAAAAATAACTGTGTTCATATATTTTTTAGATTTTTTGGTTACGGTATGAACTATTTATGAGAACCTTTGTTTTAAATTTGCAATCTTTAGCTATAAAAACTGAACATTATATAATTTATTAATTACAATGATTGATAATTTTGGAGATTTTGATGAATTTTGTCAAAATTCGATGTTTAAATGCTTATCGGATACCGATATCGGATACAGATTTTGAATACTTGCTGCTTATAACCGTTTTAAACTGAAATAAAAATTGAAAACAAAATCGAAAAACATCAATACTAGTAATGAAAACTGAAATTAAAATCGGAAAATTAAAAACTGATATTTTAAACCAAAAAGGAAATCAGAAAAAATGAATACCGATATCCGAAACCGCATCAAAATAGGAAAAATATTTTCGGTTTCATGTCTTGGAGTGTAAGAAAGTACTGATTTGTGTTTCTATTAAGTTAATGTAGTTTTTTAATTTTTTTGTTTTACGTTGTTATGATTACTGATATATGAAGATTTTACTAAATATTTATGTAAGCAACTACTTTAGAAATTACATAATTTATTGATATTTTTTAAATATTTTTAATTTTCAATTTTATTTCGATTTAAGTACGTTTGAACAATACATTAATACAACTACTTATGTTATTGGTAAGAGAAACTTTTAAATGTGATTTAATATTCATCAAGCTGTTGCATTAAAAAAAATCTTAAAAATAGGTACAAAATCACAATTTTTTTTAGCATTAACCATTAAATATAAAATGTATTAAAATCATGAAAATGTGCAAATTATAAATGCATACAATTTCAAGTGTAAACACTAGACTTGAAAATTTACATTTTTTCTCATAAGTATATTTAGGAATAAAAAAAATTAATGTTAAGGCACAGTCGACTTTAATGGGTGATTGCAATTCAATTTTTAACGATATTGGATATCACACATAATACAAAAACTTTTTTTTATTTAATTATCAATCAAAAAATATTGATAATAGAAACTTGAAATATTCCATTATTAAATATTTTATATTCATTTATTATATTAGTTATAACAATTTATGATGGACCTCAATAAAATTCAAAAAAAAAAAAAAAAATTGGAAATTTGAAAAATGTTTTAGAAATAGATCAAAAAAGTTGTCTATAAAATTAATATGTTAAGTTTGATATGATAATGTCTACATTTTTTAGTCGAAAAGCTATCACTGATTACCAACTTCACCCACGCTTCACTACCCACAATATATTCATCATCCCTTTTATTGTACTAAATAGATATAATTTTCTACTAAAAATCACCGTAGATATGGAAAATAGAAGCATTTTCGATATTTAAAAATAAGAAAAGGAAAAAACACATAAATGTTACTAATATGTACTTTTCTAACTCCTGTCAGAAACTTAAGCTTTAAGAGATACGTTCCATACAAAATAACATTACTATTGACCTGTTATGAAAAATGAACAAATATACGTACGTTTGTTTTCTGAAATTGATAATGTTAAATTAATTTATATAATTTATTTAACTATGTAGGTAGGTAAGTAGATAGGTAGGTAAGAATTCTAAAGGCTTTCAGATTATTGTTATAAAATGTTATTCTAAACTTTAATAGTTTATTGATCACATTAAATATTTTAATTAAAAATTCAAATAATGTGTTATAATACATTTATAAACATGTGAAGCTGTGAACGACACTCGTCATTCGTTTTTTCGTTATTTGAGGTGGCGATAACTATGGTGAATATTTATTTAATGAATTTCAATTTATATTAATGTATATTAGTCATATCTGAGATTAGCGTTAACAATAAATTTAGCGTTGCTTTATGTGCGCTATTTTGAACGGCTTCGGTTACTTACGTTTGTACCCGGCATTGTTATGGGATTGTTTGGTGGTTAGAAGGTTAGAAATTTGAGCAGTAAATGAGAGAATGGTGGCTGCCTTGGCGCGGAGACGTTCCTCCGAACAACAAAAACGTCGCGAGAGTAATTGGCTTCCAAAACGCGGTCGGCGTAGTCGGTGACGTCGGACAATGTTCCGTCGAGACCGGAGTCAATGGCCCGAATATTCAGCCAGTACTCCCTTAACGGTCCGAAACCTATTGAGTAAGTACTGTAGATTTTTGTATCTTCCCTAATAACATAGCTTCTCAGGCGAAAACGAGAATTCCGCCTATACAGCTTTTTTTTTCTTTTCTCCGTCCAGCCGGCAAAGGTAGGCTCACTCGTGAGCAAGGTGCGCTCAACCGCGACGAGCCCAAGGTGTGCTCGGAACACCGCACAAGGTAGGCTCGATCGAGTTCATCCGCAACACGCTTCTGTGCTTGCAGAAAAAACATCTGCACAGCGGTGAGATCAGCTGCAGCTGCCTTTGGAGAGACCTTGAGGAAAGAATCACTGGGATATCACGAGGTGTATACCGTCAGTAGTAATACAGCGGAATAGAAACAGAGAGTATCAAAATTATCAACATCCTGCAGATCAACGTCGGAGTATGTCGTACGGCCCAGGACCTGGCACTGGCAACTACAACACATTTGGCCATTGACCTACTGGTACTCAGTGAACCCTACCACTGAGAACGAAGGTTGATTCAGCGATACTGGAGCCAGTGCAGCCATCATGATATTCAATCCTAAACTGCAAATAAAGGATATTGGTCCTAAAGATAACCCAGGTTTCTGGTGGGTGAAAATGGAGGATATCACGGTGTACGCCTGCTATTGTTACTGGTCCCCTAACACGGATTACACCCTTTTCGTAGACTTCTTTTATAGGATCGAAGGCAGCATTAGGCAACAAGAGGGCACTGTCATAGTCAGTGGAGACTTCAACGCTAAGTCACCGGCTTGGGGAGAACATACCGAGGAACACAAGGGGCAAGCACTGGTGGACATGACTTCTAGCCTGGGCCTGACAGTATGTAATGCTGGAGACAAACCAACGTTCTCTAGAGTGTAAGCCTGCGGAATATCCAGGTCACATATTGATATAACATTTGTCACTGAAAGGAGTAGTCATTTGGAAGATGATTTTCAACATTTAGTCAACTGGAAGACACTGAATCAATACAGCGCATCACTCCACAGATATATAACGTATAGTGTCTCAAGAGCAACTCACACTTAGCGTTTCTCCGCCAACTAAAAGTGGTAGTGGAGAAAATACGATAAATTCAAACTACTTAGGTTTATCGAGTCGGCTGGTTTCGTAACCAGCGAAGAAGCACTTTCTGCCACAAGTTCTTCGGATCAGTACCTCAAAGATGCGTGTGACAGCTGCATACCAAAGGGAAAGTACAGGGGAGGCAAGAAGCCTGCTTACTGGTGGACTCAGGATTTCTCCGAGAAGAGAGAAGTATGCATGAAGGCTAGACGTAGATACAAGAGAGGGCTCTACCGAACGATTGAGGAACAAGAGCAAAGTAAAGAAGACTTCGAGAAAGCAAGAAAGGTGGCTATCAGGCGAAGCAAAAAGGCCAGCTGGAGCGATTTATGCAGATAAGTTGAAACAGATCCATGGGGCCTACCATACAGGTTGGCGACGAAGAAATCGGTAGGCAAAAGGCCAATCCCAGGACTTAATATACCAGGCAGAGTAGACTCCATTGTTGATGCCCTCTTCCCAAAGTAGGTAGCAGTCGCATGGCCTCCAAGGACGGAGAATCACGTTTTTCCTTAGGTTACCTGAGCCGAAATAAGAGATCTCAGCAACAGAATTCCGCGAGGAAGGACAAAAGGACCAGATGGCGTGACTGACCTGGTTTGGTGGTCAAGACTCAAGGAGGTCACCATAAACAGGCCGGAGATTCTAAGGGACATTTTCAGCACCCGGCTCAGAGGTAGTGTCTTTCCGCACTCTTGGAAAGTGGCAAAGCGGGTCCTTCCAAGACATCAATGAGAAGGCAACTAGTGGTTTAGTTTTTATGTTTAAGCCACTTGCCGATAGTTATTCACAACCAGTGGCTATTTTTGCCTCTAGAGGTCCTGTAGTTGGAACTGAATTGGCTAAACTCATAATCAAGTGCATAATTCTCTTAGAACAGTCAGGTGCCCTTATTCACGGTATAGTGTCTGATGGAGCTCAGACAAATAGAAAGATGTGGACTGAATTAGGTGTCAATGGCCATATTGATTCTTTTCAAAATTGGTTTCATCATCCACTTGACGATGATAGAAAAATATTATATGCCTTTTCAGATACACCACACCTAATAAAAAAAGGTCAGGAATAAATTATGCAATGATAAAACACTCAATGCAAGTTTGTAATTAGTTAAATGTTAATGTGTTTGTGAATCAAAATATTTCATGTGTTGTGTTTAGCATCTATTATTTTTCAATATAGGAAAAAAAATCTGTATGTATACTAATATTTTGAATTTGCTTTATGGTAAACCTAAACGTCATGTAGTGCTATAATTTCTAATTTGAATGTGTTGTGTTAGGTATTAGATGGTATATTGTAGTTTTCAAAATGTGTTAAATTATTCTGAACAAAATAAAGAAAACACAACATTTTTAACTTGCCTATTTAATTGTGTATAATATAGATTCATGGTCAATATATTCAATGGCAACACATCAAACGTTTATATGAAGAGGATATAAAATTGACAGGAAATTTGAGAGTGTGCCCAAAGTTATCCAAAAATCACATTCAACTTAGTGTTTCTGATAAAATGAGGGTTCGCTTGGCCACTCAAGTATGATATTTAATATTTATCTACAAATAAATATAATAATTTAAAATACGAAGAAATAATACAAGCATATTATATTTAAATTTAAATTTAACTTATTACTTAATTTTATTTAGGTCTTGAGTAATTCAGTGGCTAATGGACTATTATTTTATAAAAACTATAACATTGCTGGATTTGAAGACTGTGAACCAACTGCCATGTTTTGTCGTAAATTTAATGATTGCTTTGATGCTCTTAATAGAAAATTTGGTGCTGAAGGACTCAGAGTGGATGGCAAAGATTACCAGGTAAATTTATAACTTATATACCTATTAATATATTATATATTAGAATGGTTTTATAAATAGCTACTAAATTTACGAAAACTAAATAGCAAAAAAATTATTGTTGGTAATTATCACTGAAAAAAAAAATTAAGTTTAGCATGATGTTCTTATTATTGTTTATTTATTTATAATCGGTTTCATTTTTAAAAAATTTTTATTTTATTTTTACTATAATTTATTTATTTTTGAACTTACAGTTTCCTCAATCATTTTTAATTTGGATGAATGATTGGGAAAAACAATATGATGATGGCCAAATAAAAAAATCTGAATTCCTAACAGACAGTACTGCTTATTGTGGTCTGAGAGTGACAATCCAGTCTACACTTGATCTATCCAAACACTTGAATTCTTGTTGGAATTTCAAATATTTATTAACTGGAAAGATAAACCAGGATAAAGTAGAAGTATGAACAGAAAAAATAATTGTATGAAAATTATAAACAATCAAATTATTAATTTTACCTAGATGTTTTTTGGAATAATTCGCCAAGCTGCGGGATCCAACGATCACCCATCAGCGCCAACATTTCTACAACTGTACAAGTTATTATCAACTTACAGTATACTGAAACCATCCAAAAGTGGAAATTGCACCATAAATGATGATTCTCCATTAACTCCATTAATTTCCATATCAGATTTGAAGAATATTTATCATCCTGAAAAGTCAAACTTATTAGAAAATTTGAAAAATAAATTAAATATAATAATAGAACAAGAAGAATGGGAGTTCACCGATGTAGTCGAACACGATTATGCAAAAGCTGAGGTTGTAGACTGTTTAATATACTATTTGACTGGTATGTATAAGTATTGGTACAAATTTATAATTGTTTATGCTTGTTAGTTGTTTGTATTGGCCACTCCCTAAAAGAGCTATGTACATTTTTCATTTTATAGGATATTTATCAAAGCAATTGCTGAAATATACCAAAGACCGTGATGTCTGTAAATCTTCTTTTGTTGTATCAGAAATATATTCTCAGCAGTTGCCTGCTACTTTGGTGAACATGAAAACAAGAGGTGGAGAAATACACCCTAACATATGCTTCTTAAATTTTATAAAAAAAGTCGAAGAAAGTTTTAGCAAACACTGTACATCGGCAAACGTTTTGGACCATATTACAGATGATTTAATGAAAGTTACACCAGTCAGTTTTCCATGTGCAATACACGGTGAACAGATAATAGCATTTACCATTATGTATTATGTTAGAATGCGCATGAGACAATTTGCCCTCCAAGAAAACAAAAAACAGAATAAGGCAAACAGAAATAAAAAAAAATTGCAAAGTTTTGTAAAACATAATAATAATGTATTTATAAAACTGATTAAAAAAGTAAAAAACATTATACCAAAGAGTAATTTTAATCGTTTTCTTTAATCTTTAGTAAAGATGTAAAGGACCTTTAAGGTCTATACCTCATTTTCTCGATAACTTTTTGAAACTGCCGCCTGCCGGAGTTTTTCAGATTCCTGTGATTTTTACTTAACCTTAAATACGTATAACTGGCAGCGCTCAATTTTACAGCGGCAACATTTTAAATATATTTGCACAATTAAGCGGAACACTGTTAAGGTAGAGTAGTCGGACCTTATCTTCTAAGACCGTGTTACATACTATGCATACCTATTATCATTGATTATAATATAATATGTCTACCATTTTTTTTCCATGTATAACACTATAACCACTACATGAGGGGCCGTACTGTTTGCACATTGCTTGACTCTCATGTAGCATCGTTTATTTAAAAGTATAATGTTTACATCTTTAGATTGGGCTCGCACGGGGGGGATGGTACCCTTTTCTCAGCGAGTGATGGTGTATAGAGAGTAGCACGACCCCATGATACCCCGCATATTTGTCTACCTACTGTATCACTCTGTGTTTAATTTTAAGTTTAATTTAATTTTAAAAACAATGTTCTTGTTACTTTGTTAATGTATAGGTACATTTAAATTGGGCTCGTCCCGTATTATATTCAATAAATAAATAAATAATTTTTGATTTTCTTAATAATTGACACTTATAGTGATGATCTAATAGACGTAACAACAATAAGTAGGTACCTATTAAAGATAAGATATTGAAAGAAGTAATATAGGTACCATGTCTGATACGATTATAAATTATAATACTATATATATATAAATATTTAATTATAATACGATTACATCAATATTGGTATCATGTACCTATTGGCTATTATGTAAACAGAACATTCAAAATCAAATAAAGTTCAAATTATTGTGACATTATGTAAAAGATTTTAAAGGTAATCATCACATTAATTGTTGTAAATTCCCATACATCTAAAACCAACATTCAAGTAGGTACTTAAAAATAAATAAATAAAATTCAACCAGCAATTGCACTAAGATAAATGCGACTTCGTCCGTTGAATGAGATGCAAACAACAGACTTTTTAGATTCTGAGTGGAACGATAAATGTATTGATTTTACAATGATGTGCGTTTTTTTATGTTTTTATTTTTTTTTTTTATTTTTTTTTGTGTCTGTGTACACGATAAGTAGTCGAAATAATGCTTCGATTTTCAACTTCAGTATCTTGTTCGATTGGAAAGTAAATATCGTTGGTGCATTGGGGAGGTTAAAATTTAAATTTCACAGTAGTTTTCAAAAGCGACGGGAAAAACAAAAGAAAAATGGGAATTTTTACGCAAAATCTGTTTTTGAGAAAATCGATTTTGGTTTAATTTTAAAACAAATTACCGTAGATACATGAAATTTTCAGTGGTTGTTTATATTTGCATTTTCTATACACGATAACATTTTCAAAATATTTTGAACTATTTAGGATTAGGGACATTTTCAGTTTCCAATTTTATTAGTTTTTTTTTATAAATATCAATAAAAATGTATTTGTTGAGTAAAAATACTTGAAAATTTAATACGACTCCTACTATATTGTTTCAAAGACAGATGAAAAATATTAAAAATCGTTAGTCACAGTTTTTTTTTAAGCATTTAAAGTTTAAAAAATGACAAAATATGAAAAAATCACGAAAATTTGCAAATTATTTCGAGTTAGAAATTCATAAAAATTTTTCTTTTTAAATCTAAGATATGAAAATGTAATACAAGATTCCTTATAAGATTTCCTACATTTATCAAAAAAAAAATTCTATAAGAAAGTCAAATTAAATTTTTATGAGCGTTTGAAATTCAAATTTTTACAACATTTTATATTCAATTGATTTCTCATGTGGCGATTTCCTTATTTTTTTGTAATTCGAAAACGAATTACTGTAGATACATGAAAATTTCACTGAATGTTTAAATTAGCATTTCCCATACACCATACAATTTTGAAAATATTTTGACTCTTTTTGAGCCGTTTACGGACATTTTCAGTTTCCAATTTTTTTAGTTTTTTTTTTCTATAAATATCAATAAAGTTTTATCTGTTGGGCCAAAAAGTGTAAAAAATTAATACAAGGCTCCTGATATATTGTTAACCTAACCTGATATATTGACAAAATTTATCAAAATCTCGAAAATTATCAATCATCGTAAATTATAAAATGTTCAGTTTTTATAGCTAAGGATTGAAAATGTAAAAAAAGATTCTCATAAATAGTTCATACTGTAGCCAAAAAATCTAAAAAATAAATGAGCACAGTTATTTTTTACAGACATTTTAAATTCATATTTGGACAAATTTACATATTAAAAAACCTAGAATAACTATTTTAATTTTTAGTTATTTTGTTGTGATTGTATAATATTATTCGTGGGTACTTGAAACTTCTAAAGTGTACTATTATATATCTATGATAGTATCACGGTTTTTGTTGATGTATAGCGCTGTATAGCGCGTTATAAGTACCTAATGGATATTGTGATATGATTAATTTGGAATTTATTATAGGTCAATTTTTTGTTTAATACCATAGATATGTATATAATTGTCTTAAACCTAGACTGACATACCGTCTTCGCTCAGAATCGTTTTTCTTATACAATGATATTGTATCATTGAATTCAAATTTAATATCATCCATTATACAGCGACCCACTTGTAACCTACTGTACAGCAGAGCGACACCCACTTGCCCACCTTTTTTTTATTAATTTTTATTTTTTAGTATTCTTCTTGGCTTAACTGCACACCGAAAAAATGCAATCGCGTGAACCGCAGCCTAGTAAAACTATATAAGCTTGAGCATTATAAAAACCCATTTGACAATTCGAGTGGCAGAATTAAGTTACCGTAAGCTTGTAAGCTCGTTGTATTTTAATACAATCAACACTGTATATAGATAAGTTAAAATAGTACCCGTCACTCGATGCATAAGTTTCTGTATAATATACGTTATGACATAATCTGTATAAGTAATAATGAATAGATATAACAATCACGAGAAGCGCATTCTATCGTTATTGGCACAGTTATATATACGAACGAGGCTGGGTGCGATACCGTTCAGTCGCTCGGTTGTGTGTTAACTGCTCGTTTGCAGAGTCAGTATAATAAGACTATAATAATTCCTACTTGTTACAACCTTCGAATGCGATGATTTCGTGGATGTTCAATTGTCTGTTTGATTCATTTACTCTGATATGCACTACAGTGATCGGTTTACTGTTTTATTATTATTCGACGTCCACGTACGAAACATGGAGGAAAGCAAACGTGCCTCATACGAAACCGGTACCGTTTTTCGGGAACTTCTTCAGATCGACACTGGGGTTTGAAACCATTAACGACACGTACCATAACATTTACGAACAATTTCCGGACAAAAAAATTTGCGGGTTTTACCAGATGAGGACGCCGACTCTGATGATTCGAGATCCGGAACTCATAAACAACGTGCTCATCAAAGACTTTTCGCACTTCACAGACCACGGGCTCGATATGGACCCTTCTGTAAACTTTTTGGCGAGCAGTTTGTTCTTCACACGGGGCCAGAAGTGGAGGATCATGAGACAAAAGATGAGCCCGGGATTTACGTCCGGTAAACTCAAGCTGATGCACAGTCAGATTAAAGATTGTAGCAAAGAGATGATTGATTATATCGATAGGAAATCGAAGACGACTGATGAGTTCGACGTGCACGATATCATGAATAAATACGCCACTGATGTAATTGGGACTTGTGCTTTCGGTTTGAAATTAAATAGTATGACAGACGAAGACAACGAATTTCGCAAATATACAAAATTGTTATTTAAACCATCGTTTAGGTTAATATTCGCCAACATGTTGTCATTGATTTCACCAAAAATCTCGAATATTTTAAAAATAAAAATGAACTCACCAGAAGTTATGGAATATTTTACTTCATCATTTCAGAGTGTAATCGAGTACAGAGAAAAGAACAATATAGAGAGAAACGATGTGGCACAAACACTTATGCGAGCTAGGAAAGAACTAGTACTAAATAATAACTCGTATCCTGAAGGTGAGAAATTTTATATCGTAAAAAAAATAATGCTTGTGTTCAATTTTTGTTTAAAATTATCTTATATTTGTTATTTTTTTTTTCGGCAGAGAAATTTACAGAAATGGATATTATTTCAAATGCAATTTTAATGTACCTTGCTGGTGCTGAACCGGTATCCGATACGTTAGGTTTTTGTTTACACGAGTTAGCGATGAATAAACATGTACAATATAAATTGCGTGAACATATCATCATGAAGAGAAAAGAACACGGTGGTGAATTTACTAACGATTATTTGATGGATCTTCATTACGCTGACATGGTTTTAACAGGTAACCAGTTCATATACATTCTGGAAAATCTATACCGTTTATTAAAATATTGTTTACTTAGAAATACAATTTAATAAAATAAAATAAACAGATACATATTTAAATATTTTGTTAAAATATAATATTTTAGAAACATTGCGCAAGTGCAACGGGACGATTGTTTTATTTAGAAAAGCGACTAAGGCTTACCAAGTCCCAGACTCGTCATTAGTTATTGAAAAAGGCCAACAAATAATAATACCGACTTATAGCATTCATCATGATCCAAAATATTATACCAATCCTGACGTTTTTGACCCGGAAAGGTTTTCTCCGGAAGAAAAGTCAAAACGACCTAATAGCACTGAATTGTTATTTGGGGACGGACCGCGTTTTTGTATAGGTAGGTATTACATTTTTTAGATTGATATCGATATTTTTAATTTATTGCCATTTTGATTTTCAGGTAAGCGTTTGGCCGAATTGGAAATGAAATTAGGTTTGTCAGAAATAATTTCGAAATTTGAAGTTTTACCGTGTGAAAAAACTGAAAATCCCGTTCAATTGGCTAGTGCTGGTGGTGCTATTAGACCAAAGAATGGAATTTGGTTAAGTCTGAAACCGATCGTGGCCTAATAGAAATTATATTATATTATGTAGTATTGTATTATTTAAAGCTAACAATGTGTAAATCCAAAAATTAAAGTACCTAGGTATATACATTAATTTCTGTTATAATTATTATGACTATCTAGGTAGACTAGGTAGCTCTATACCTACCACGGACTGGGATAAACTTTTTCTCGTTGTCTTACAACGAAACGCCAGAACTCTACTAAGCCAATTTTTATTAACTGAATGTTTGCGTCCGTACTTAATTAAAAATACTTATATAGGTTAGGTTTAATTTAATGCTTTTAGGTTTAGTTTCGTATCCTAACTAAATCAAGTTTAAACTTAGAATAATAAATTTTTAACAGAACCTAGGTTCAAATTAAAAAATGCATATTGAATAATAAATTGACTAAATTAATACGTAATAAATTACTTAAAATAATAAACAAACAAGTTAGTAAAGCTCACTCTGCTAGGGTGCTAAATTCTCGGTTTTTTTAAACCTATTATAATACAACGCAGTAAATTATAATTCCATATATAATTGATGTAAGTACAGGCATTACAGACAATAAATTAATTAAAATCAACAATATAAATCAACAGTCATCATTGCTATAAAGAAACATTAAAACAAAAATAATATTATATATGTCTACTTGATGTATTTGGTTTACATTATGTCATTTATAATTTTAAAATAAATAAAATATAAAAATCTAACCAAATAGCCACTAAGCGTACATGAAATAATATATTAAAATGTGTATAAGTAAACTTTATTATAACCTAAAGATTTCTTAACATTTTAAAGCAGGGACAGAAACCGTTACAAATTTTAACGGTTTCGGTTTTGAGAACGGTTTATAAAATTTTCTAGTTTTGGTTTAGGTTTAAAGATCGGTTTTTTAAATTTTTCGGTTTTGGTTTCGGTTTCGAAAAAGGGTTTTTTAAATTTATCGGTTTCAAAAACCACGGTTTTCAAAAATTTTCGGTTACGGTTTTTAGTTTCCAGTAATAATTTTTTTTTTTCAATGGTATCGAGAGTCGATGGAGGTTGTTGGACGTTGGTCGCAGTACTTCTTCCCAATAAGTCACACTACTTCGCCCCTTCCAGTAATATCTATATACCTGATTTGTATTATCTATTAACTATTAAGGGGAAAGGGCCTGAGCCTCAGGGGTGGCACTGTCTAAGGATACAGATATATTGGGTTCTGATCAAGGGATTGTTAGGAATATATATATAAATATTATATATACATACTCAATAAAGGTATATTATGGTATTATACATATATTTTTAATAACATTGGTAATTTGTATCACCAATTGCCTATAGGAAATAAATAATAATTAATAAGTACCTACCTAATAACATATTACATGCACACAAATACAATATATTTTTGTATGTTGCAGTAGTTAAGACACTCAGTAAGAAATACTAAATACATGTACACTATATATTAAATATTATATTATATTATGTAGTACATAATATCTTCTTTCTTTTCAATATAAATTATATAATATGCCTTATGTTTGGGAGGGGGGGATTATAAAAAAATATGTGCTACGTAAAAAATACAACTGTTTTAATGCACTTTCCATAGTGGTAGGAACTTAAAATTTAAACCATATCTTCCTTAAAATGGTCTCATGCAATTAATGATAACTGCGGTCTGCGGGACAGCGGGACGGACGCGGATCAGTCGAATACGAAAATACAATTCTAATTAAATAATAATATAGACGAATTCTTCAAATAATAACAATTTACAATACAGATGTGCATAGCCACGCATAGGGGCGATAAAAATAACAATTGTGATATTTGTATTTTAATTTAGAATCAACAAATCTAGTAATAAAATATAGGTAGGTAGTATAAATAGAATAATATTTGTAATATCGTATTATTAATATTTCGTAATACTCAGTAATAGCATCGGGAATTTTTCATACATATTAATTCAAATATAATATTCTCTTCGTAGAAAAATACTTGTTTTAACTAGAATTAATAAAAATAAAAATTTAAACAATCTTAGAAAATTCTAAGAAACCGATATTAGTTTTAAATGTTAATCGGTTTTGAAGAACGGTTTTAAAATTTTTTGGTTACGGTCTGGGTATTATAAATGGTTTTTTAAATTCTTAGGTTACGGTTCTGGTTTTTTAACCGAGGTTTTAAAGCTCTTGGTTTCGGTTTCGGTTACGGTGTTCAAAAATGCAAAAACCGCGGTTTTAACCGGTTTTTCAGAAAACCGGTTAAACCGGTTTCTGTCCCTGTTTTAAAGCAAATATGAATACCTATTTAAACTCTATTTTATTTTTTCAATAATATATTGATAGTCCTGAGTTAGGTACCATTATTATGTATATACACTGTACACATATTATGTTTTTCTACTGGGTTGCTCAGTGTTCCATGTAATATTATTGTTATCAATTGGCTGCAAGCCTGCCTATATCCTATCATAATGCTACATATGGCTACCATAGACTATTAATATTACTCTATGATGGCTACACACAGGTTCATATCATACAAAGATATATATAATATGTATAATTAGTGTTTGAAAATTTCATGAAATTTAAAAAAATGAAATATTTCGTGAAATATTTCATGAAATATTTCAAAATATGTGAAATATTTCAGTATTTTAATATATTTTGTTTTATTTTAAAATAAGTTTTATATTTACATATAATTGTCATAAATTACCTTCATCACTATATGGTACCTGTATGTATACATAACCTTTGGTATTATACATTTAAATTGGTATTCAAAATTTTTAAATATTTTAATGTTTAAATGATACAAGTAGGTATACAATATTATACATGTATATTGTATACTTACTGAATTCTGACATTAGAATTTAGAACACTGAACATTGTGTTAAAAAAATAAATAAATTGTGTTTTTATTTGTGTTAAAAAAAATTTCAATGTTTCACGTTTTTGTGAAATATTTCACAACTTAGTGAAATATTTCATGCTTCTCATACTTCAAACACTATGTATAATATATATATATGTGATATCATATAGATATAGATATTTTACTATTTTGTAGCTAATATTCTTCTTTGAATATTCTTAAAATCTGAGTCATGAAGTGTAATAAAAAAGTATTAAAAATTAAGTTCACAGAATACTTATACCTACACCATTTACCAACAATTTATTTTTTATTTTGGAACAAAGTTATTAATGAGATAACCAAGTAACCAACTAAAAACGGAGAGCAAAATAAAAATAAAATAGTTACTGTATTGTCATTTTTCATCAACAATGATACTGCAGTATGTAGTAATTAAATACCGGGAAAAAGATGACCTTCCACCTGAAGAATGGAATTATGAACTGCTAAATTCATATTACATTTGAAATATGTATGAAATTACAAATTAATACATTAACGTTACAGATTACAAAAATGTATGTAGGTATTGATTATTCCAAACGATGATGACTATAATAGTCTATTGACTATTATTACTTACTATAGGTTTTGAATAAAAATATATTTGTTTTTATTTTATTTTATGGCTTACCTAACTAGTTTGTGACCAGTGAGTAAAGTAAAGTATGTAACACCTACAGTAATGGATGGAATTAAATTTGAATTCAATGATCCTATTATCATCGTAGTTATACGAAAATCGATTCTGATTGGAGACGATTTGTTAGTCTAAAGATATTTTATATTATATTTATATAGTCATTGCTTATTATTGATACGGTAGCTGGTAAATATTGAATTATTATTATAAAATTACAAAAAAAATTACTAAAATCGTTATTCTTGGTCTAAATTTTCGTCTAAATTCGAACATAAAATAACTATAAATAAAACTGTAATTCTATATTTCTTAGATTTTTTGATTAAGATTAACCTACTTTCGTGAATTTCAAATTTTCGATCCTGAGCTATAATAGTTTAACATTTTTTTTTTTTTTTTGATAATGGTAGTGAAACTTATGAGGAACCTTGTATTCAATTTTCAAATCTTAGATTAAAAAATGAAAATTTTTATAATTTTCTATCTCGAAATAATTTGCACATTTTCGTGATGTTTAGGTATTTTGTCAAAATTCGAACTTTAAATGCGTACTTTTAAAAAAAAGTTGTAACTATTATTTTTAATATTTTTTAACTTTTATTGTAACAATGTATTAGAAGTAGTGTTTGAAGTATGAGAAATATTTCATGAAATATTTCAAATGAAATATTTCATTTTGAAATATTTCACTAAGTTGTGAAATATTTCACAAAAACGTGAAACATTGAAATTTTTTTTAACACAAATAAAAACACAATTTATTTATTTTTTTGACACAATGCTCAGTGTTCTAAATTCTAATGTCAGAATTCAGTAAGTATACAATATACATGTATAATATTGTATACCTACTTGTATCATTTAAACATTAAAATATTTAAAAATTTTGAATACCAATTTAAATGTATAATACCAAAGGTTAGGTATACATACAGACCATACAGTTACCATATAGTGATGAAGGTAATTTATGACAATTATATGTAAATATAAAACTTATTTAAAAATAAAACAAAATATATTAAAATACTGAAATATTTCACGAAATATTTCATTTTTTTAAATTTCATGAAATTTTCAAACACTAATTAGAAGCCTAGTATTAAATTTTCAAGCTTCTTGAACCAACAAATTTTAGAATTACTTTAATCATAATAAGTATATAGATACTAATAAAGTATTTTAGAATTACAATATTAACAAAAATGTATTTATTTTCATTTTTCAGTATAAAATGGAATACTTAGATAGTACAAAGTTTTAATGATAGGTAGTTAAATATGACATACTGACACCATAACATTCAAAATTTTCAAATAGTTATTACTTTTTACAAAATTAATTTTCTTAATTACTAATTGTACTATTATTAAATGAGTAAATAAAAAATGTGATTTTAAGGTGACGGTAAGTCAGTACAATGTCACTCATTCAGAATTGTTTTTGTAGTAAGTTACTGGATCACAGTAAAAAAATAAAATCGTTATTACTGATCTCATTGCACTAAATTATGTTTTCGTTGAATTTTAATTTATGTATATTCAGGGTTACCTAACCTATATAGTAATTATACAGTAGCCAATAACTAAACAGTTATATTATAGACCATATTACTCAGCACTCGCTCTTAATTCGATTTCATTGGTTCATCCTTGGTGGTTAATATAAATGTACCTACGCCATTCCTATTCACCTCATTTACGATATGCAATATATATGCAATGTTTGTACATATTATGTTAAGCTTTTTTTTAAAGCATTATAATTTATAACGCAAGGTCCTATACCTAAAGTATAGTGTTCAATATAATGGCACGTTAAACAAATTAGTAATTACATAGGTAAATTTAAATTACAGATAGGTTTATATGTTGTTAATTTATTTGTTGTTGATAGATACTTGGATTTATTATATTATGTATATTTGATTCTGAGCAAATCGATAAATATATTGATTTTGCAATGAAGTGTCCAAAAGAGGTTTCAGGTAGAAAATTGGAAATAGTTTTCACTTTGGTCTTTGTTGTTCTGTTGTAGGTACTTCTTTTATTAAAATAATATTTTTTATTGATTGGAAAAATAAGAATACTAACATATTGTAATACTATATATTATTAAATCGTTTGGTTACTACAAACTTAGGTCGTCTCCACTATCCACTTTAAATCGTATTTATCATTGAATTCAAATTTAATATATTATCCATTATAGTTAACTAGTCAATGACGATGACGTATCCTTTCGACACTCTCACTGTACAGCAGAGTCCGAGAATGGGGGGGGGGTACATCTAGACATTATTTTTTATATATATTTATATTAAATATAAATTAATTACATGTAGGTACCTACATTAGTACCTACTGACCTACCTATATGTAAAAAATGCATGGTTACAATGTGGATATATAATATAATAATCTATCATGTCGACTATCACTAGGTAAAGTAGTACCCACTATTGATTATTATAATACCACGACTTTATCAATATGCAAAAATCTTTTTGATCATAAGATTTGGATAAATTAAAATGTTCTACCATACGAACTCGTACATGGGAATTCAAATAATCCAACCCTTCTATCCATGATTTAAGTTCTTTTTTCTCCCAACTCTAACCCTATAATTTACATGTGAAACTTGTTAAAAGAAGGGAATTAGTCAACATTAAGTATTTCATATTAGATTGTGTGTTTAAAAAGCGTTTAATTTATAAAAACTTTATAATTTTAAAATGTTGGTTATAACTTGTTTTAAAAATTAGCCAAATTATTACCTATCAGATAAAAAAAAAATTAAAATATTAAATTAAATTTTAATTTTATAAAATGACGTCTTGAACCGCGAGTTTACAGAGTCGGAAACAATACTAACATTTACAATTTTTGAATGCGATGATTTCGTGGACATTCAATTGTCTGTTTGATTCGTTTACTCTGATATGCACTACGGTGATCGGTTTACTGTTTTATTATTATTCCACGGCCACGTACGAAAAATGGAGAAAAATGAACGTTCCGCATACGAAGCCGGTACCGTTGTTCGGTAGTTCATTCAGAACGACGCTGGGGCTTGAGAGTATCAACGAGACGTTCGATAAAATTTACAAACAATTTCCAGATGAAAAATTTTGCGGGTTTTACCAGATGAGGACGCCGACTCTGATGATTCGAGATCCGGAACTCATAAACAACGTGCTCATCAAAGACTTTTCGCACTTCACAGACCACGAGTTACCAATGGACCCATCTGCAAACATTTTGGCGAGCAGTTTGTTCTTTTCAAACGGTCAGAAGTGGAAGATCATGAGACAAAAGATGAGCCCGGGATTTACTTCCAGTAAACTCAAGCTGATGCACAGTCAGATTAAAGAATGTAGTAAAGAGATGATTAACTATATCGATAGGAAATCGAAGACGACTGATCAGTTCGATGTGTACGATATCATGAATAAATACTCCACTGACGTAATTGGGACTTGTGCGTTCGGTTTGAAATTAAATAGTATGATAGACGAAGACAACGAATTTCGAAAGTTTACAAAATTGTTATTTAAACCATCGTTTAGGTTAATATTCACCAACATGTTTTCATTGATTTCACCAAAAATCTCGAATATTTTAAAAATAAAAACCAACTCACCAGAAGTTATGGAATATTTTACTTCATCATTTCAGAGTGTAATCGAGTACAGAGAAAAGAACTATATAGAGAGAAACGATGTGGCACAAACTTATGCGAGCTAGGAAAGAACTAGTACTAAATAATAACTCGTATCCTGGAGGTGAGAAATACAATATACGTCATACCTAGTAACTTATAGAACAATTCTGTTGTTCACATTTACTTTAAAATTAACTTATAATTTTTAATTTGTTTATTTTAGAGACATTTACAGAAATGGATATTATTTCAAATTTAATATTAATGTATATTGGTGGCGCAGAGCCGGTATCTGATACGTTGGGTTTTTGTTTACACGATTTAGCGATGAACAAATATGTACAAGACAAATTGCGTGAACATATTAAGGAGAAGAGAGAAAAACACGGTGGTGAATTTACCAACGATTATTTGATGGATCTCCATTACGCCGACATGGTTTTATCAGGTAACTGTGTTTCTACATGCTAGAGAACCTAGGATGTGTTGTATAATATATTGTTTACTTGTGTATAATTTTTTCAATAAAATAATCAGATACATATTTTATTATTTTGTTATTCTGTAATATTTTAATTATATTTCAGAAACATTGCGCAAACACAACGGGTCAATTACCTTATTAAGAATAGCTACTAAGACATACCATGTACCGGACTCAACATTAGTTATCAAAAAAGGCCAAAAAATAATAATACCTACTTACAGCATTCATCGTGATCCAAAATATTATACTAATCCGGATGTTTTTGATCCGGAAAGGTATTCTCCAGAAGAAAAATCAAAACGACCTAGTGGAAGTGATTTATTGTTTGGGGATGGACCTCGTTTTTGTATAGGTAGGTACTATATTTTTATGCTTGATATTTATTTTATTATTATCCATATTCTGATTGGCAGGTAAACGTTTGGCTGAATTGGAGATGAAATTAGGTCTGTCAGAAATAATTTCGAAATTTGAGGTTTTACCGTGTGAAAAAACTGAAAATCCTGTTCAATTGGCAAATGCTGGAGGTGCTATTAGACCAAAGTATGGAATTTGGTTGAGGCTGAAACCGATCGTAGTTTAATTGTTAGTCAATGATTGTGAATAGTGAGGAGAATATATTTTTGTTTGTTTGTTATATTTGTGCGATTTAACTTTAATTTGTTAGTATTTTATAAAAAATTATGATTATATATTTTTTATATCACATATAAACATTAATGTGAATATTTAATATTCATATGGGATTAATATATTATTTGTACAACTTAATTAATAATTTCCATTTGTAGTTTAAACTTACCACATTATATTATGTATAAATCAATTATATTTAGCCATTTCATGATATAGTATAGTAATATAAATATAGTAATGTGAATATTGAAACAATTATAAAATATCCTATAAAAACTCTATTTTTTACTCACAGAATCGTTACTCGTGGGTCCACAATGATTATTATCATTGAATTTAAATATAACATATCCGTTATTCATTACAGTAGTGAATTACGAGGTAGGTACACCTCAAATATACTACACAGCTGATGTCCCTGTTTTTTTTAATTCTTATAACACAATCCCGTCTTATAATTTACATTTCAATACCTACTACTGTCTACCATGTACTGGACTCAACATTAGTTATCGAAAAAGGAAAAAAAATAATAATACCGACTTATAGCATTCATCGTGACCCAAAATATTATACTAATCCTGATGATTTTGGTCCGGAAAGGTATTATCCAGAAGAAAAATCATAACGACCTAGTGGTAGTGATTTATTGTTTTACCTTTTAGGACAGTAAAAGTGCTTAGATTTTCTTCAACAGTATCTTTTCTGATAGGAAAGTGAATCTAGTTGGTACTTTGGATGGTAAAAAGTAAAAATTTTCCAGTTAGTGTTTTGAGCTGTTTACGAACACAATTTGATATTTCAATATTTTTTTTTTTTTTCTATGAATATCAATAAAGTTATATCTGTTGGGCCAAAAAGTGTAAGAATGTAATACAAGGCTCCTGATATATTGTTACAATAGCAGTTGAAAAATATAAAAAATACATGGCCACAATTTTTTTTTATAAGTATTTAAAGATCAAATTTTGACAAAATTTATCAAATTTAAAATTGAATAATAATTTTGTGGTTAAAAACGTATTAAATGTTTAACTTTTATATCTAAGGATTGAAAATTTAAAATAAGATTCTACGTAAGTAGATTATTCTGTTACCAAAAAATCTGAAAAAAAAAACCACAGTTTATTTTTATAGCCATTTTAAGTTCAAATTTGGACGAAATTACAAAAACCTACAATAACTTTTATAGTTATTTTGTTGTGATTGTTTAATATTATTCGTGGGTACTTGAAACTTTTAAAGTATACTATTATATATCTATGATAGAATAATGGTTTTTTATTGATGTATAACTCGTCATAAGCATCTAATGGATATTGTGATATGATTAATTTGGAATTTATTATAGACACCTATTATTATAGGTCAATTTTGTTTAATACCATGGACAAGTATATAATTTGTCTTATACCTAGTCTGACATACCGTCTCCACTCAGAATCGTTTTTCTTATACAATGATATTATATCATTGAATTCAAATTTAATACCATCCATTATACATTGACCCACTTGTAACCTACTGTACGTCTGTACAGCAGAGCAACTTTTTGTAGTTAAAAATGTATAAAATTTTCTAATTTATAGCTATGAGGATTGAAATTTTAATACAAGGGTATACTCATAAAGTCATAAACTCATAACTATTCAATACTGTAACCAAAGAATATAAAAAATCTATAGCAATAAGCATACTATTTTTTTGTTTGTAAGCTCATATCCGGAATAAATTGGACATTTAAACAAAGATACGGCGAGTCAGCCTATGATATTACTATAAGTATATTTGATGATATTATTGTGAATAAAGTAATTTATATTGAACTTATTTACGTGGAACCTAACACCTTGTTTTAAATTTTCAATCCTTAGCTATAAAATATGTAACTCTAAAACTAATGATTGTCCAGAATTTCTTGAAGAATTAAACTTTGATTTAAATACAATACACTCTAGAAATAATCATACATTCTATCTATCAAATTTTATTGTCAAATATTATATGTCACACAGCCCTGTTAACATTTTAATGTCTGCAGGTAAAATTGCAATACATTTTGATTTTTTCCTTAAGTACTCACGATAAGCATTTTCTTGTATTTCATTATTATTGTTATTTAAATAATTACTTACTAAACTACTTATAACTTATAGATTATTATTATTATTATTTTGTTATTATTTTTATTGGAATTTATTCCGTAATAAAGAAAATTATTAAAAATTATTATTATTAATGACTGTAGTTTTAGAGGTACTCCAAAAACTAAAATCGATTTTGTCAAAAACCTATTTTGAGTAAAAATTCCCGTTTTTCCTTAAACTTTTATATGTCGAAAACTACTGGGAATTCGACCTACGCAATGCACCAACTATATTCACTTTTCCATCAAACAAGATGTTATTGAAGTTGAAAATCGAAACATTATTTAAAATAAAAAAAAATACGAGTGTGTGAGCCCAATATTACACTCTGGGGAAGTAAAACTTCTTTCATAAGTACTGTGGCCCATGAAATTATAGGTGAATTAGGGAGAGAGTGAAAAAAATCAATACAATAAAAATAAACGTGCACGCCGCCACTGCCGTGCATGACTTTCAAAATAAATAAAGAAAGAAAAGTGTCGCTTCATTTTCCGTTACGATTTTTTTCCCCCCACACCTTAAGGGGATTACCAAACTACCGCTTTTTAGAGTAAAATAGACCTATACGAGCTCCAACGTACTAACTTGAGTTTTACTCCTATAATAATTTTTAAAACATATTTGAATTTATTATGAAGTCTATTTTGAATCCTTCGAATCAGAATAATAAAAAAAAAATTTAAAACTATTTATGTCTATTAAAATTTTTAAGAATACAAGTTTTTTTTTCTAAATTTGAAAGGAGGTTTTTTCTTTTTAAGAATAATAAATTAAAAATGTGGCTTGAAGGATCCAAAGTTGATTGAACAACAAAACAAAATTTGTTTTCAAAATAACTATCGGTGTAAAACTCAAGTCGGTATGTTGGAACTCGTTTAGGTCTATGATTTACAACATTTCGCCATGAAATAAATTTCTTTTAGGCATAATGTGACATGTGCATATGCGAGTGCGAGTGTGAAACGCTTATCTAGCTTGCCTACAAATGCTATTTCGATAGGAACCTTCTCCATGATATAATCTTTCAATAAAAAAAAATTAAGAAAATCGGTCCGGTAGTTTCCGAGAACATTAGCATCAGAGGTTTCATTTTTCGTAATAATTTTTTTTCCACCCACACGGCCTAAGAAAGAAGTTTTACTTAAAAAACACACATTATTGTAAAGTCAATAAATTCGTCGCCCCACTCAAAATCCAAAATTTTTTTAAAGAAAGAGTTTAAATGAATTCATAATTAAACGATAAACTTGTTTGAGTATGCTTGGCGAATCAGTGAATCTCTCCGTAATCCTTATAATATATTAATTTATAAATTGCACCATTTATATTATTGTCAATAAGTATAGTTTTATATAGATCTAGAACACTTACATTTAATATGGACATAATGTATATACCTAATCAATAGCTGTGATCTAAATTCTAAATTGTTAGTTCTATAAGAGTGTAATAATTTACTTTTCATTATTTTTATTATTTAACAATAAAACATATTTTTACCTATAACATATTACAGTAATTGATCCAAAACAACCCTCTATACATTATCATTAGTCAGTATATTCACTACCCACTACCATAATAGTTATCTAAAACTAGCTAAAGCCGTGAAACTGTTGGTCCGTTGTCCCAGCCAGTGGCGTATTTTGGGTGATTTATAGGGGGGTGTCCAACATTTATTGAACCTCTCAAACAAAATTTTTAGAATTATTAACTTTACTAATATTTTATTTATATTGAGTTCAGAGTTATGATATAAATTATATTGAATCGATATTGAATATCGATATTTTTTCCGATTATTTTATTTTATTGTCCTCGCTATAATGGCGTTCGTCCCCAATGTGTTAATTATTATTTAATTTATTTGAATAAATAAGTATTTAGTATTTACGTTATTCAGTAATCACCGTATAGTAGTGGACGGTGGTACGTACAGTGTTCACATAAATTGTTGTTAATATGACTTAACTAGGTATCAAAATAGTTATTCTTTAGAGTATAGTACAAAACACAAATACATATAATTATAGGAAAATATAAATAATTACGCCTAAAGTGAATGTAGCTACTGCCTTAAAATAAATACATTTGAACTAGGTACCTAGTATCATATAGATGTACTAGATGTAGGTACCCTCAATAACATGTCACATGTGATTGTAGAATAAGTTATCTTATTTGGATTGATGAGTGATGACTAATGGTTTTGATAAAACGTTAACTTACAATTTAATCAAAATATCAATGTACATATTTTATTATTTTAACCTTCTTGTTTATTTTTTCACTGATAATCAATAGATTTTATTAATTTACAAATTTGTCTCGATTTTATACGTCATAAGCTGAAAGATTCAAAGCATTTTTTATCACATTCTAGTACTTATTAAGGTTTATTCTACTGTATGAGTTTCAAATAATTTATATTTAGGTAAGACGTAAGAATGACTTAATGACTTGTATCAATTATAATATTATTTAATTATATGATTGTATGATATAGACATATAGTTAAGTACTCATTTTGTGAAGTACCTAATAAGCACTTAAAATAAATATTTTTACACTATTATTAGGTATGATTGTAGATTGTTTCATGTTTACAATTACGATTATCATATTGTGAAGTAGGTACTTGCTGGTAGCAATTTAGATCTCGTTGTTATCTTTGACATTTTAAACTTTATATTTTCAAAATAAATGGAAGTTTAAACGAAAAATAATGGTTTTAGTTATTTTGTTGAAATGAAGAAAATATTAAGCGTAAAATCATAAATCGTTTCATTACAAGTTACAA